ACAATTATCATTATTCTATCAACAATATTATAATTCTAATCCCGATTTTTTCCTTTATCAGTCTTTCCATCTTGGCATAAATCTTCCAACCTCATCACCCTCTCCTCCTCCTCCATTACAGGCCCGGGGTCTCCGAGAGCAGCTGCAGAACGCCCTCGCCGACGCCGAGGACGAGCACCGCCGTCGGGTCTCGAGCGAAGTGTCCCTCTCCCGCGACCTCGCCGACACCGAGCGCAAGTACACCATGAAACTCCGTCGGGCCAATTCCTTACACGACATGGACAAAGTACACCTTCGCCAGGATCTCGACCGCTTGTATCACGCCCTCCGCCGGGAGAAATACACGAATAAGTATTGGAGGGATTATCGTCACCATTTCTACTGCGGTCACCATGATTGCGTCGACTGTGTTTACGACCCTATGTTGTTGGACTGAGTACATGGAGGGTGCTGGGTATTTTTTTTTTATTGATTTATTTGCTTATTTTGTGGCCACGTCATGTCTCACCGTCATTTTGATTTGAGTGATTATTTTGTTCTAATTTGGCCCATCTTTTTCCCTATTTTGAGGCTTAGTCAAGGCAATTCTCAATGCCCTTTCTTATTTTTTTTTTTATCTAGTCTTGGATTAAGGAAGCAGAATACTATAAAAAAAAAATTACATACTATTTTAGTCTACTGATTCATCATGATATTTCTCTACCTATTTCAATTCTCCAAGTTCATAAATATATCTTTTTTGGGGGTTTACGATACTGAGCTTATTGGATTCGCAAACCTATATCAAATATTTGCAATGGGTCCAGTAAAAGACAAAATTATTTCAAATAAAACAGAAAACGAAAATAATTTAGCCAGAGTTCATTAACAAGCCGTAATTTCAATAATATCGTTTTCTGTTACTTCCTCATTAACATTTCCGTGAGTTTTTAATAAAAAAAATGTGATTTTAATTAAAGTGATTTGATATTCATTGTAAATTTAATTAGCATTATTCATTGTTAAATTAGATGCAGAAGTATTTATAGTTTATGTGGACATAAAACCAAGTAGACGAAGTATGAAAAAAATAAAATATCGAATGAAAATAAAAAAAAAATAAAAAAAATACAAGGAAATTTATAAACAAAAATTGTCTTAACGATATATATTTTAATTCTAAAACTTTCTTTCTTTCCCACATAATGTTATCCATCAACGCAATTTAACTGCATCATTCAATACCTTTATTACAGCATATTCATTTCATTGAATTAAGTATTACAATTCCGTCCAAGGCAATTAAACCATATTTTACCGTTTTTTTTAGTATAAATGATAAGTGATGTATATTAATATGAGTAAATAAACATTACATCATCCAAAATATACATAAATCATGTGTACTAATTGCAATAATCATTATGCCTTATTAAAATTGGTTTTCTTGTCTTAGTGGCTAACCTGCCCTGCTTGTCAAAAATAGATTTATTTCAAACATAGCTGTCATATTATCATATTCGAGAAGTATAAAGTGTAGGCTGTGCTGCACATATTGCCGTAAGTGAATAGATACAGTGATACCTTTAAGACGATATAAAATGATATGAAATAAGAAAATAAGAAGGAAAATAGTATCGACGTCTGGCAGCGGCGCTTCTTCGTACGCCATAAGCGCCCAGTCCAGCTGTTTCGTTTTTAGTGAGTTTTCTCAACTTTTCCAATACTTCACATTTGTCATTACGATGTGAAATGAAGTTGGGAAGTGTTTGAGAACTGTTCTTTGTTTAGAATGTAAAGAATACCGTTATAGAGAAGATAATTTCGATTGTTCTGTGATGTTTTGATCGGCAATTCATTAGTTTTTTTTATCATTAGAATGGTATCAATTTTACTGTTCTTCAAGTGCTGTTTTGTTTTCAATATTTATTTAATCTATTTTTTTTTGTCTCGATATCTATATACTTATCCATGTCTTCATATATCTATATCTTCATCTATGGAAAACTTTATCTTTGTCTATATCTTTCTATTTATCTCTCTCTATATGGATATTTGTGTATCTGTTAGTTATATTATTCATGATATTTTTGTTCTTATTACGTTTTTTTCATCTTACATTTTCCACATAAATATATTGTTGTTATTATGATTATTATTTTCATCACCATCATCATTGTTGTTATTATTCTATTTCTTGTTAATATCAATGTTAACATTATTATGGAAATTTAGTACTAACATTATCATAATGATTGATGTTACATTATTATTTCCAACACATGTCGCTATTGTTAATGTTATTGCTATTCTTATTATTAAATTTATTGTAATTATTAAGGTCACTAGAAAGATGATATTGATGATGTAATTATCTATATCTATGCAGTCATTAACGTCAATTTTTCTTTTAACCACCAGCATACTTTTCCCTATTATAGTTCTACTAGTTTTATTACAACTTCACCTATCATTATAAAAACGATTTTGACATTAATTAGAGACAAAATTTCCTAAGCCATAAGAGCAATATAACCAAAGCTGTCAATTTATTGTTAACGTCTTTATAATTCAATTTAACCATCTATAGAGACTACCCACAATAACAAGTTAAATTTTGTGTATTTTGTGTATTTGTCATTATTCATCGAAGAGTATCTTACAATTACTAATGTTTTACCAAAGTTCTCGCTTTCTTTCAAATGATTTTATTTAACACTGTCAAAATATCTATTTCATAGAGTATGCATGCAGTTTTATGTCTACTTTGTTAAAGCAAATACCCAAGTATAGTTTCTTTTCTTTATACGCCCCCCCACCCCCCGTTCAGTTCTAGTACTTCTACCATTAACACGAACGGAAAATCGCCTAGTTGGGAACAGGCTAAAATTAATGTGGATGAATAACTTTTTGCCTTGATTTTCAATGCCACTGTTATGCAGGGCCAGATTTAGGCGTAGGCTAAATAAGCTACAGATGCAGAAGCTCAAACTCCATTTTTTTCTTCTTCAAGGTGTCATATGTTTTGTTTCTTGCTATTGTTCTTTTATCGTAATGTCTGTTAGATTAACATTTCATTCCTTTTACTCTCATTCTCGCATACCATTCTTGGCGAGTTAGCACGGCGCCTTTTTCTCTGTAAATAAAGCATCTACTGTTTCTCATAGTACATGGACTCACCGTTTTAATCCGGCCCTGCTAATGTGTACTGAAGAGTCCCATGGTAAAGTAAGAGAAAAAAAAAATATGGTTGAATAGGAGAATATGCTTCTCTTTTACATACTGCGGCTGGTATGGTTGAAGCACTCTTTTGCTTGGTATGTGAGAGGAAATTTGGTATATTACTAAAGTGAAAAATGAATATAATTGAAATAAATGTATGAAACGTGGTGAAACAAGAATCAAAATAGGTCTTTTTATGCTCAGGCAACAAAATTGACACTAATAATTTTCAAAGGGTATTATGAATTGATAAAAAATGTTTGTTTAACATATAATATTTAATACCTCACCTTAATTTAAAATTCCATTTTCTTCAAATATTTATGATAAAAAAAGAGATCGTAATGTACATCGTATATTCTGAGTAGTTACTCCTCAAAGGTGACCATTTTCTATGACGCTTGCGCTGTTTCAGAAAACGTAAGCTATTCTATGCATAACACTGCCAAATAAAGTGAAAAAAATAATATTCATTGTATAACTTTGCTCAAACTGTGTCAAACTGAGTGCATGACATTTCTTTCGGTAATTAGAATAATAGCACAAGATTAAAGACAAGAATAAAGGTGGTGGCTCCCAACCTCATTCTCACTTACATATTAATTTTCCTGTTTTTGTAAATGTAACATTAATATAATCACATTTGTTTTTGTCTTTCTTACGGTTGTTATTTTACTGATTGATTCGCCACTTAACTTAAATATATATAAGAAGAGATTCCTATAATTTTTTAATGGACCTTCTATTATGAGAATCAAGGTTGGGAATGACCAACTGATCATATAACACGGTGTATTCAATATAAAAAATACATTGTTTATGTTCTTTGAAGTAAAACGGCTGTCTGTCGAAAAAATGAAGGGGCGCTCTGAGATACTTTCGCAGCAGAAAAGAGAAAAAATAAGAAAATGTAAAATAACACTGAAAAGAAAGACAAAACAAACAAAGAACGATGAATAAAGGGTAAGTTCGAACATTGGAAATATTGAATGTATTCAGACAACACTGTAAAGAACTATAGGATTGAAAACAAGAGAATTATTGGACGTATGTACTGAAAGAACTATGGCAGCGTATTGAAAGACCTTTGAATGTATCTAAGATGACACAAACAGCATAGAAGGTTTCTAAGATATTTGCTATACTGCCCTTACTATACCCATGTGGGAGTACTGTTTGGCGTTGGCATATTAAACAATCACAAACACTAGATTAATGGTTCTTAAACTAGGGGGTAGGGACCTCTCGCTGGAAGCCACCTTGGTTCTCTATATTTTGCATTTTTTTGGGTGTGTGTGTGGGGGGAGGGGGGTATTTATGGGGTTTCTGTTTTTTAAGTATTGTTTAGTATTTTCAATAGATATGGGTTTTATTTTTTTTATCTTACCTCTAAAACAAAGTTCAAAAAAAAGAATAAATAAAAAATTAAACTCATTGGGGTGCGTAATAATACCCTGAAGAGTCTTAGGAAGTCACAGCGCCCCCTAACCTCCCCCCCCCCCCAAAAAAAAAAAAAAAGTTAAGAACCATTCATCTCTATGCATCTTATCTGTAAATCAATTAGAACATCTTAATTACAAGATTATAACGGAAACCTCCAACGCCAATGCAGAAGTACCTTCCTTCCTTCAAGTCTGTAAGTTTAGCATTGCAAATTTCTTAGGTTGCACTGTTATCTCATCAGCGTTTCTAGTCACAGTGAATGTCTCATAATCATGATCATAGTAGAGATATATGTGTGTATAGTTGTTCTAGGTGTTAAGGATTCATGAGTAATGATATGTAAATAAAAATACTCGAGTTGCTAAAGTCTTTATTATGAAATTCCTTAAACATAAACATAAACAATAATATATGTATGCTTACTGTCTATACATGTATTAAAGCATACCTGTTAGCACGATATATACACACAAATCATACTGTAATAATGCCCAAAAAATATGTATTTGGAAAACACGACGGAAATCTCAATTTTGAAACTGGCATATTCTCAACGCAAGGAAAAGGAAATAAGGAAACGTAACTTTTCATATAAATTCCTGCCTAACATAACATTTTAATTGCTCTTACACTCAATAGATGGCGGGGTCACGCCTATGACGTTGTGATCCAAACATTTTTTATCGCTGAACAACTTTCAATTATGGCGGCCGACCCAAATGAAAAAAAAAGTAATTTAAAGAATACTATGTTTATTTATTAATTTCTCTATGCCTTTTCCTCATTTCAACTTCAATCTTGCGTATTCATATATTCTATATATTAAGTCAACCAGTGGCTTATTGCTTATCAAATGCCCTTTCTAGACTATAATAATTTAACATTCACTCTCCTCATTAGAATAAATAAACGCAAACTCTAAAACTCAACATAATAAATACTCAAAATAAAAACAAATAAAAACACATCACACCAAAACACACAACAAAATATAAACACCAAAAAAAAAAAAAATCATAGCAAAACACACAAACACAAAACAGCAACAAAAATACACACACAAAAAAATAAAAAAAATAAAACAAGAAAAAAAAGATCACACCAAAACACAACAACAAAAACAACAACAGCAAAAACGACCCTACAACCTTCCGTGCACAGTCGCCCACAAATCAAAGAACTTGTGAACAGCGTCGGTGAAAATACTGTGCACGGTGTGAGCTTCCGACAGCGTGGAGGATGAACACCTGGAGGAGGCGGCGTCGCAGGAGCCTTGTCTCGAGAGGCCGTTGTCGATGTAGAAAGCGAGGTCCTTCTGGCCGTAGAAATACCCGAGGCTCGCGCTGGTAATGGGGAGAGAAAGAGGGAGGAGGTGATATTAAAGAATTTCGGGGAAATATGATTATAAAAATGAAAAAAAAAATGCAATGAATATAGATATAAGTAAAAAAAGTGGATAATTCTCAAGAACAATAACAACAAAAACTTTTGGAAAATGACATTATCGAAAATAGCAAATAAAAGAATGAACGAGTAAAAAAGGACACTACTACTAAAACACTGAAACACAAAATATTTTCAAAGCAGTTCCACAGACAGACCACCATGTTAAAGACAAAAAGAAAAAAAGAAAATAAACAAATGAATAAAGATAAATAAAAAAAACAAAGATGAATAAAAATAATCAAAGATGAATAAAAATGAAAATAATCAAAGATAATAAAATAAAGACATAAAAAGACAATAAAAGAAAAAAAAAAAAACACAAACCACCCACCCACCAAACCACCGCACGACCACACAACACACGCAAATAGACCCCAACAACCCAAACGACCCACAAACAGCCACTCACACGAACAAATCCGAGATCGTGGGCGCAGGCAGCGGTGTCTCCTGCAGCTGCTGACAGAGGAACTGGCCGACGCAGGAGTAGTGACCCTCTCGCTGCAGCTTCATAATAGCGGCGACCTTCCCCGGGATCTCGAGGGCGGGGGCGTGGTCGTTGTACGTCCTGCTTTGGCTGCGAGGGGAAGAGAGGTTGTGGTGTTGAAGTTGTAATCATCAGTGTTGTTGTAAGTACTGTTGGTAGTTTCGTAATTATTATTATGGTTAGTGCGGTTATTGTTGATTTTGTTGCCATTATCATTATCAGTTTATTATTATTATTGTTATTATTATAATGATAATGAAAATAATAATGATTATCATCAGCATCATCACTGTTATCACTATTACTATAATTGTTGTTATCTACAGAATTTTCTTCTTTAAAAAGTATGTCTTCAAGCATTATACCTTTTTGAATTACGAATTTACAGCTATCTGAACTGTCTGTCTGTAGCTCCCTCCCTCTTCTTCTCCCTCCCTTCCTTTATCCATCAATCTACCCATCTCCTTTACACATCAATATAAAAAAGCAGACACCGAACATAGAATATCAACCAAAGCGACAACAGCAACAACAATAACAGCAACACCAGCAATAACAACAGTAACAAAAACAACACCAACAACAACAGAATACCCACCTCGGCATATCGAACTTCGATGAGGAAATCCAGTTATGAATGTTGACCATGGCGTCCGGGAGGTCCGAGAGGCTGAGCGGGAGACCGAAGTCCGAAACGTCGAGCGATCGTCCGGTTACGGTGAGGATCTGGTACACGGCGCGGATCAGGTAGGCCGCTGCGTGACAGAAAACGGGGTAGAGATGAGGGAAGAAAAAATGTGGGTGTGGGAAAATGGGAAACATGGGAAAACGACAAAATGTGGGAAAATGAAAAACGTAAAATCGTGAAGAAAATGCGAAGAAATGGTGAAGAAAGAAAGTGAAGAGAAGAAAGTGAAGAGAAAAAAATGCGAACAAATAGTGAAGAGAAAGTGAAGATAATGCGAAGAAATTGTGAAGAAAATGGGGAAAAATGAGAATACAAAAGTGAGAAGGAAAATGTAGGCCGCTGCGTGAGAGAAAACTTACTAATGGAGAAGTAAGGAAAGAAAATAGGTGAATAAAAGAAAATAGGAAGAAATTACAAAAAGAAAAAATGAGACAAACAAAATAAAATAACGTAAAATAAAAAAAAAAAAGAAAAATAAAAATAAATAAAATAGAAGCAAACAGTGAGAGAGAATAAATCAAGTAGCCCATTGCATAATAGAAAACGGGATAGAAATGAAAGAGGGGGAAGAAAATGAGAAAAAGTGAAGAATGAGGGAAATAGAAAAAAAAAATAAAAGGAAGAAAATGTAAAAAATGAAAAGTGAAGAAAATAGAAAAAAAAAGAAATGGGAAGAAAATGGGGAAGCATAGCGAGAAAAGTCAATAAAATATAAAAAGAATAGAAAAGAATAGAAGAAAAACAGGCAGTGAAAAAAAAAAAAAAAAAAAAAAAAAAAAAAGTAGGTCGCTGCAGAGAAACGGTAGGCGATGAAAGAGAAAATGGGGGAAAGTGAAAAGAAAATGGAAAAAAATAAAAAGTGAAGAAAATGGAAAAAATAAATAGTGAAGAAAATGGAAAAAATAGAAAGTGAAGAAAATTGAAAAAAATTAAGTCAAGAAAATGGAAAGAAATGGCGACGATACAAACCAATAAAACATTACAAAGAAACAGAAAAAACAGTGAAGACACACGAGATAAAAAAAAACAAAACAAGGAAAACAAAGCTAATAAAAATAAAATGGAAGAAAACAAGGAAAGGAAAACAGAAAACATAATATTACCTAACACTCATCAAGCAAAATAATTACACGAACAGACTTCGAAACCTTAAGACATACACTTTAAACGATTTGGTAGAAATTGCTCAAAAGAGTATGCAAATTAAGCACAAGGAAGCTATTAATACTATTAAATTCTCGAAGGGTCGATGCCGTTTTAAGGTATTTAATGTCACAATTTAATGTCATAAATAAAATGATTATTTAACTAGCGACAAGTAGAATAATGGAACTACGTGATGGATGAAACATATTAAACTATGGGATAAGTGGAATAATGATTTATGTGATAAATAAGATAATATTTGAACTATGCGATAAAGAGAATAATAATTTAACGATGTGATAAATGAAATTATTTAACTATGAGATAATCAAAAGTTATATAATCATGTGATGAATAGAATATTAATTCACGCGATAAATAGAACAATGATTGAACTAAGCGATAAACGAAATGAGAATATTGATAATCGAGAGATCATGACTCACTCGGCCTACGTACCCAGGGTGAGGAGCGCAATGATGGTCACCGGGTCGAGTGTGAGGGCGGACTGCTGCCTGTCCTCGGCCCCGAGCAGGACGGAGGTCAGGTGGTCGAGGAACTCCGCCTCCGACTTGGCCGTGAGTCCCGCCGTCCTGATGCCCTCCAGCGTCGGGACATCGAGGAGGACGTCGACCACAGAGGCGGAGGAGTTGGAGGCCGACAACTCCGCCAGGGAGGAGTTGCTCTTGTCCTCGACCCTGGCTCTCATTCTGTTGATGACCTTGAGGACGCCCTCCATGTTCTTGGCCGCCTGGAGGACGCCCTTGCCGATGGCGTTGGTCACGGCCAGGTCGTCCGTCTCGTCCACGGGCTGCGGGGCCTCGGTTCTCGCGTCGTCCTTCGCTGCCTTCAGGGGTTCCTCCGAGGGCGTCGCGGGGCGTGGGTCGTCCTCGATGTCGGCCAGCAGACTGAAGATGTCGTCCACCCTGCGCGTGTTGTGCTGGTTGAAGGTGAAGGTGTCGATGTTGAAGTTCACGCGCTGGGCGTCCTTCCTCGCAGGGACCGCTGTGCTTGCGGTCGGGGGAGGCGCCTTCTCGCCCTCGCCCACGCCCCCCAGTTTCCCAAAGAGGGCGTTGATGGACATCCCCGTCGTCGAGGGGGGAGAGCCGAACACATGCTCCCCCGACAGATCATTGTGGAAGTCGCCCACATTGGAGAGGGGTCTGTCGAGGGCTCTCTGGACGGGGTTGAAGGCCCTGTGGAGAGACCCGAAGGCGTGCTGGAACGGGTTGGAAGCCGCGAGGGGCGTCGCCTGCAGGAGGGTTACTGTCACGGCCACCGTTACGAGACGCGCCATGCTTGTCATTCTATAATAGAAGAGAATGCTCGGTGAAAACAAACTGCTAAACTTAGTCATAGTAGTCATGTTTAAAGTTAACGATTTTGAAAATTTAATCGCTTGGAAATCACGTACTGTACAGATAAAGAATATTCGTCAACATACCAGGAAGTCGTATACATCTAGAGAATCGTAAAAAAACAATGAACACCGTTTATTACACATCTTAATTACGGGGCGACTGTAGTACAGTAGGACGCAGTGTGCTTCCCGATCCGCAAGACTGTACTGAGATTATGCACATGCACAGTGTAATTATACTGTATCAGACACGAGTAAAGCAAGGCAGACAAGCAGACACACAGATAAATGGATAGACAGAGAGATGCACAGACAGGCAGACAAACACTTCGACATTCATACGTCCATTGATCATTTTTTGGAATGGCATAATATGATAAAGAAGATGAAGAAGAAAAGTAATAAGGACCGTGGAATGTGATGTTCATACTAATAGTCAAATTAATGTTGATAGCAATGTTGATAAAAATGATGGTGATAACGGTAAAGGAGGAGGAGGAGGAGGTGGTGGTGGTGGTGTGGTGGTGAATGATGATGATGATGATGATGGTGATGATGATAATACTGATAACGATGATAAAAAAGATGATTGTTGATGATGATAACACTTTAATGGCACACAGAGTAATGAAAATGTAAAAGAAAAAATAATTTAGCGCATGTCTCCATTCCACAAACACAAAACCAAAAGATCGTCCCCACATAGCTTCCAACATATATTTTTTTTTTTTTTCTGATTAGACTTAACGTTCCTTGGCCTTCATTTGTGGTTTCTGGGACACGTGACGGTTTTATGTGTACTCTACTTTAACCACTCGTGTCTTAGTAACGGTGGTGACGGTCTCTCACGCCCTTATTTTTTTATATATATATTTTTTTCAAGACGAATGCGAGAATAGGAGTCTTGAAGCGAATAAGCGAATGGGGGAGGGAGAGGGGAGGGGAGGGGGAGGGGGAGGGGGAGGGGGAGGGAGGGAGGGAGAGGTTGGGTATTCCTGTTGGATCTTTTTTTTTTTTTTTTTGTTAGTTTTGTTCGTATGTCTTTTGTTTGTTTGTCAGTGTCTGTCTGTCTGTCTCCCTATCCTCCTCTGTCTACATGCATATATACTGTACATACATAGAAACATACATATATAAATTCACAAACACATACATACATAAGTGCGCATACACACATCCATATGAGTCTATTGACAACGTACTAGTACTACTAATAATAATAGTAAATGACGTTACGATATGATATTTGATATTTATTAGTATGAGCAGCTGTTCTGGTGTTAGGATATTGGGTAACATTTTTGTTATTAAGTTTAAGTGTCTATTTACCACCCTGGCTAACTGCTCAGGCGTGGGCAATCGTGATTACAGTGTACAGTATTCTCTGATTGCAGTAATTATACATGGTAAAATGGGAATACTGTCATACAACATGCAAACGTATATTACCTAAGTTGATCTACCTTTGCCTTTGTGTTTACATAAAAGTGTTCTGTGGTTTGTTCTATGATTATGATAGTTTTACATAGTAAAATTAGGATAAAGCATGAGTATATTTTCCAATGTATCAGATGCTATAAAATAATCGCATAGTTCTTTATGCCTCATGTTAGGTGGTCTGAAAGGCTGTATCACATGACACTCCGAGATATAATGCTCAAGCGTTCGCTTATTTTCCTCGTTACACAATCTACATCTAGATTCATCTGCACATTTTGCACCTTGTAGTTGCCAATACATTATATAATCTAAACGTATTCTGGCAATAACCACGTCACATTGTCTGGTCTTACTTCGGTGCCACCCATAGGAGGGCTTACAATCTCTATACTGATCGCAGTGCCTTATACTACAACTTTCAGGCCTTTGTGAACTCGTCAGATCTATCAGTTCTTCATTATGATTTTTTTAAAATATGTGTGCAACCCTAGCAAGAGGCATCCCAAGATCTATATTTACAATATCTTTGCTACAAGCCTCTTTCGCCAATTTGTCTACTGTCGTGCTTGCGTATGCCAACATTTTACGGATGAAATGCGATACACAAAACCCGTAGATTTACATTATCTTCGTTTCCGCGTATTGAGCATAGGAAAGAACAATATAACTGGAAAATGATAGGGTTATATAGGCACTTTCTTTTCCCTGAGTGCCCGTATATGTATGAAATCGAAGGCGTTTGTGAACCTGTTACTGACGTGTTTTTGTGGAGGTATATAGTGATGTATGGCAGTTTAAACGTTTATTACCCACATATCCACACCTAACTATCTACTCACCTACCTACCTACCTTCACTAACATCTACCTACACCACACCCCTACCACACCACCACTCACCCTCACACACACACACACACACACACACACACTCACACACACACACACACACACACACACACACACACACCACACACACACACACACACACACACACACACACACTAAATCAAAGTCTACTTAAGAAACCACAAAGACTTAAGTTGCCTTTGACATACGCACATAAACAGCTTGTGTACATGTGTGTGTCCGTACGCGTCTATGTATACGCACGTACGCACTGTCTATTTATGCAAATATCAAAACAAACAAGAGACCACAGAAGCAGCACTCCTCACATTCTTACAAGGAAAAAAAAATATGAAGAATGATGACTAGAAGGTATGTTTCACCGTTACAGGAGATCGGCCATGTTGCTCTCCTCTCCTCTCAAGAATCGAAAACAAACCCTAACGTTTTTTATCATTTACTCTAAAATTCCTCCATGTCTCCATTCCAAATACCTTTATACCAACTAAACGTACCTTCCACCGCCTTTAACTACCCTCCTTGTTCTCTTTAAATGCCCAATATCATGAGGAAAAGACTTGTTTTAGAAGGTCCTTGGCGCGAACGAGGACCTACGTCAATTTAGGTCACAGGACTGCAGGCTGTTCGAACTCGCCGATCTGCCTCGTCTGGGTCTTTGCACGCTGGCTTCGGTTTAAGACTTTGAAAGGTTTTTGTAGTTTTTAGGCTTTCGGAAATTTGAGGTTTCAGGAAGTTTGAGTTTTTTGGACTTATAAGGCTTTGAGGTTTAAGATTTGAGTACTGTGTAACGATTCTTGTTTTTATTTTATCTTCCGGAGCCATATGTGAGCGGAAACGTACGCGGTCTTGTTTTTTTTATATGTTGAATGCGTGTTTTTGTTAAGGTCTATTTTCGTGGTCGAAACGTATCTATATCTGTCTATTTGTATCTATATATTAATCTATCTATCCATATAGCTGTGTGTGTGTGTGTGTGTGTGTGTGTGTGTGTGTGTGTGTGTGTGTGTGTGTGTGTGTGTGTGTGTGTGTGTGTGTGTGTGTGTGTGTGTGTGTGTTGGCGAGCGCGCCATGCGTGTGTTTTACGCCTCTTAAAAAACATATGTATCTGTATCCGCCCGTGCTTGCATTGCATACATATTTACCTGTATGTTTCCGCGTGTCTGCCTGCATGCAAAGTAATGAACCTGTTACACTCAGTTCCCGCTCCCGTGCTTGCTTTTCCGGTGCGCGAGGAGGTGAGACGCTTTTTATGCGAGCAGGTGACTCCAAACACGTCAGCAACAGGTTTTGTTACAGCGGTGAGGCGAGCGAGGTTTTGCCGCGTCGCTTCCGTTAGTCTAAACGTTTACGGGGCCCTCCTCACCCCACCCCCTTCCTCTCCTCCTCACTGCTCCCCTTCCTCCTCCTCCTGCTCCTCCTTCCTCACTCCTCCTCACCCCCACCCCACCTCCTCCTCTCCCCTCTCCCTTCCTCCTCCTCCTCCCTCCCCTTCCTCCTCCTCCTCCCCCCCTACTCCTTCTTCACCTCACTCCTCCCCTTCCTCCTCCTACTCCTGGCCCCCTACGCTCCTCCCTTCGGCGTTCTACTTACTCCCCTCCCCTCCTCCTCCCCCGTCTTCCTACTTCTGCTCCCCCTCCCTTCATTCCTTCATCTCGCTCCCCTTCATTTCTTCCATTTTCTTCCTATTCTCCTTTCGTATTTCCTGATTCGTTATTTATCACTCTTTTTTTTCTTTTCTTCTTCATTTTCCTCCTAATTCCTATCTTTCCTCTTTCTAGTTCTTATTCCTCCTTCTCTTTCATTTCTTATTTTTTTCTTTCTCTTTCTTTCCCTAATCCAACTTTCTTTGTTTCTCCTTTCATCTCCTCTACTTATACTCTTCCCTCCCCCTTAAACCAGTCCTTTCTTTCCCTTTTCCTCTTTCTTTCTCTCCTCTCCGCCCGCTCTCTCTCTCTCTCTCTCCCTCTCTCTCTCCTCTCTTCCTCTCCCTCCCCCTCCTCCCTCCTCCTCTCTCTCCCTCCCTCTCCTCCCTCTCCCACCTCTTTCACTCCCTCCCTCCCCAATCTTCACCTCCCTCCCTCATCTCCATTCCAATCTCCCTCCTCCTCTTCCTCCTTCGCCACTGATTGCCGTCATCCGCAGCCTAGTTCACGAAGCAAGCTCTCGTGACCCCGTGAACATATCCAAGAAGTAAAGAGGGAGGGAGGGAGGGAGGAAGAAAAAATGAAAGATAAAGAGAGAGACAGGGAGAAGGGAGGAGAGGAGGGAAGGGAGGGAATAAGAAGAAGAGAAGAAAGAAAGAAAGAAGAGAGAGAGAGAGAGAGGAGAGAGCAAGCAGAGAGAGAGAGAGAGAGAGAGAGAGAAGAGAGAGAGAGAGAGAGAGAGTGAGTGAGAGAGAGAGAGAGAGAGAGAGAAGTGAGTGAGAGAGAGAGAGAGAGAAGTGAGTGAGTGAGAGAGAGAGAGAAGCGAAGTGAGTGAGTGAGAGAGAGAGAGAGTAGAAGCAGAGAGAGGCGAGAGAGAAGATAGCGAGTGAGAGCAGAGAAGAGAGAGAGAGAGAGAGGAGAGATAGAGAGAAGTAGAGAGAGATAAGTGTGAGCGAAGAGAGGGGACGAACAGATAGGCGAAAGGAATTAGACTAA